TGAAAAAAAACCCACAGAAAAAGTACTATACCAATTACTTACCAAGCAAGTATAAAATTAAAACAAAACAAAAGTAGTAAAACCAATGATACACAAAATCAGTCAAGGGATAAAAAAAATACAGATTATTACATCCAACACACAAAATGTAGAGGAGAAAGTAGAATAAAAAAGTACTTTTAGATTGTGTTTGAAATAGAGCAATCAACAACTTAATCTAGACTTATATATTTAGGACACTATCCACAAACTTTATGGTAGCTACAAACCTAAAGTCTATAATAGATACACAAAAAATTAAAGCAGAGAAATCCAATCACAATGCTAAACAAATCATCAAATAACAAGAGAAGAGTATGAGAGAGGAAGAAAGTAACTACAAAAACAGCCAGAAAAAAATTAATAAAATGGCAATAACTACATACCTATAAATAACTACCTTAAAGGTAAATGGACTGAATGCACCAATCAAAACATAAGGTGGCAGAATGGATACTGAAACAAGACCCATCTATGTGCTGCCTACAAGAGACTTATTTCAGACCTAAAGACATACATCAACTGAGAGTGAAGAGATGGAAAAAAGACATTTTATACAAACAATAGGGAGAAAAAAGCAGGAGTAGCAGTACTTACATCAGACAAAAGAGTCTTCAAAACAAAGAAAGTAATGAGACAAAGATGGACATGACATTATGATAAAGGGATCAGTCTAACAAGAGGATATAACAGTAATATCTGTACCCAACATAGGAGCACCTAAACATGTAAAACAAATACTAACAGAACTAAGGGGGGAAATAGACTGAAATTCATTTATATTAGGGGACATTAACACACCACTTACATCAATAGAAAGATCAACCAGACCAAAAATAAGTGAGGAAACAGACACACTGAACAACACATTAGATCAGATGGACTTAACAGATATCTACAGAACATTCCACCCAAAAGCAAAATGATACACATTTTTCTCAAGTGTATATGGAATGTTCCCCAGAAAAGATCACATATTAGGCCACAAAAACAGCCTCAATACATTTTAAAAGACTGAAATTTTATCAAGGAAATTCTCACACCACATTGCTATGAAGAAAACAAAAAAAACCCACAAACACATGGAGGCTAAACAATATGCTTATAAATAATCAATGGATCAATGAACACATTAAAACAGAAATCAAGCAATACATGGAGACAAATGAAAACAAAAATACAACAGTCCAAAATCCGTAGGATACTGCAAAAGTAGTTCTAAGAGGGAAGTACATAGCAAGACAGCCCTACCTCAAGAAACAACAACATCCCAAATAAACAGTATAAACTCACACTTAAGGAATTTAGAAAAAGAACAAATGAAACCCTAAGTTAGTAGAAGGAGGAACATAATAAAGGTTGGGGCAGAAATAAATAAAATAGAGATGAATAAAACAATAGAAAAAGCAATGAAACCAAGAGCTGGTTCTCTGAGAAGATAAACAAAACAGTTAAACCCCTAGCCAGACCTATCCTGAAAAAAAAGGGGACACAAATAAACAAAATTAGAAACCGAAAAGGAATTATCACAACAGATACCATAGAAATACAAAGAATTACTACAGAATTTTATGAAATATTATATGCCAAAAAACTGGACAACCTAGAAGAAATGGAGAAATTCCTAGAAAAGTACAACCTTCAAAGACTGACCCAGGAAGAACCAGAAAATCTGAACAGACCAATTACCAGAAATGAAATTGAATTGGTAATCAAAAAATTCCCAACAAACAAAATTCCAGAACCTGATGGCTTCACAGCTGAATTCTACTGAACATTTAAAGAAGAACTAATACCCATACTGCTTAAAGTATTCCAAAATGTAGAAAAGGAGGGAATACTTCCAAACTCATTCTATGAGGCTAGCATCACTCTAATACCAAAACCATACAAGGATAACTCAAGAAAAAAAAGTTATAGACCAATATCCCTGATGAACATAGATGTAAAAATCCTCAACAAAATATTAGTCAGTGGAATTCAAAAATACATCAAAGGGATCATCCACCATGACCAAGTGGGATTTACTCCAGGGATGCAAGGATGGTATAATATTCATAAATCAATCAATGTGATACACCACATTAACAAAAGGATGGAAACCACATGATCATCTCAATAGATGATAAAAAAGCATTTGACAAAATTCAACATCTATTCATGCTAAAAACTCTCAACAAAATGGGTTTAGAGGAAACATACCTCAAATAATAAAGGCCGTACACATTAAACCCACAGTTAACATCATACTCAATGGTGAAAAGCTGAAAGCTTTTCCTCTAAGATCAGGAGCATGACAAGGATGTTCACGAATGTCACTTTTATTCAGCACAGTCCTGGAAGTCCTGCCATGCAACCAGACAAGATAAGAGATAAAAGGCATCCAAATAGGTAAGGAAGTAAAACTATCACTATTTAGAGGTATGATACTATATATAGAAAACTCTAACAACTCCACCAAAAAAACCATTAGGATAACTGGATTCAGCAAAGTTGCACAATACAAAACTAATACACAGAAATTTGCTGTACTCCTGTATACTAACAACAAACTAGCAGAAAGAGACATCAGGATAAAAATTCCATTTACAATTACATCAAGAAGAATAAAATACCTAGGAATAAAACTAACCAAGGAGGTGACAGACCTGTACTCTGAAAACTTAAAACACTCAAGAGAGAAGTTAAAGAAAACACAAATAAATGGAAATATATCCCATGCTTATGGACAGGAAGAATTAATATTATCAAAATGGCCATCCTGCCCAAAGCAATTTACAGATTCAATGCAATCCCTGTCAAAATACCAAAAGCATTTTTCAATGAACTAGAGCAAATAATCCTAAAATTCATGTGGAATCCCAAAAGACCCCAAATAGCCAAACCAATTCTGAGAAAGAGAACAAAGCTAGGGGTATGACACTCCCTGGCTTCAAGTTATACTACAAAGCTACAGTAATCAAAACAGTATGGTACTGGCACAAGAAAAGAACCCTAGGTTAATGTAACAGAATAGAGAGCCAAGATATAAAGCCAAACATATACAGTCAATTAATATATCATAAAGGAGCCATGAATATACAATGGGGAAAAGACAGTGTCTTTAGTAACTGATGTGGGGAAAACTGGACAGCTACATGCAAGAGAATGAAATCAGATTACTGTCTAACTCCATACACAAAAGTAAGACACAAAACCATAAAACTCTTCAAAGAAAACATACGTAGAAATTTCTTGAACATAATATGAGCAATTTTTTCCTGAACACATTTCCTGGGGCAAGGGAAAGAAAATAAAAAATGTGTAAGTGGAACTACATCAAACTAAAAAAAAGCTTCTGTACACCAAAGGACACCATCAGCAGAACAAAAAGGCAACCTACAGTATGGGAGAATATATTCATAAATGATTTATCTGACCAGGGTTTAACATCCAAAATATATAAAGAATTCATACAATTCAACACTCAAAAAACAAATAACCCAATTAAAAATGGGCAAAGGACCTGAATAGTCATTTTTTCCAAGGAATAAATACAGATGACAAACAGGCACATGAGAAGATGTTCCACATCACGAATCATCAGAGAAATGCAAATCAAAACTACAATGAGCTATCACCTCACACAAGTTAGAATGGCCACTATCCAAAGACAAGAAATAACAAGTGTTGGAGAAGATGTGGAGAAATGGGAACCATCCTACACTGCCGGTGGGAATGTAAATTGGTACAACTGCTGTGGAAAGTAGTATGGAGGTTCCTCATAAAAGTAAAAATAGAAATACCATTCAACCCAGTAATTCCACTTCTAGGAATTACCTGAAGAAACAAAATCCTCTATGTTTATTGCCATATTATTTACAATAGCCAAGATATGGAATCAAAGTAAGTGTCTGTCAATAGACGAGATAAAGAAGAGGTGGTACATATATACAATGGACTATTATTCAGCCACAAAAAAGTAAGAAATCCTGCCATCTGCAGTAACATGGATGGGTCAACCTAGAGGTATTATGCTAAGTGAAATAAGCCAGGTGGAGAAAAACAATTATCATATGACTTCACTTATTTGTGGAATCTAAAAACAAACAGAACAAAATGAACAGAATAACAATAAGTTCATAGACACTGAGAAGTAACTGATGGTTACCATGGGAGAGGGATTGGGATAGGGGAATGGAGAGGGTTAGGGGTCTAAAGGGGCACAAAAATTCTCAATCATAATGTAAGTTGGTCATGGGGCCGGTAGTACAGCATGGAAAACTAGTCAGTGATTCTGTAACATCTTTCTGTGGTGACAGATAGTAAGTGCACTAGGTGGGGGGGAGATTTAATAATATGGGTAACTGTTAAACCACAGTGCTGTATACTTGAAACCAATATTAGATTGTATATCAACAATACTTCAATAAAAAAAAGAGTCTACCACAAGAGTGTGATTTTCAGATATTTCTTATGTACAACAGCTAGACCTAAGATGAATCAGACTTGTGTTTGAGGACAAGGGAATGAGGAAAAGAAAGAAACAGGGAAATTTCCAGGTTTCTTGGGTGATTAAGTGAATAATAGTAAGACCCTTTTGTTAAGAACAAAATACATTAGAAGTAACAAGTGTGACAAGGAAGGCAAATATGGAAGATGCAGAACGTGGGTTGGCAGTGGCTTTTATCATTTTCTCCAGCAGTGCTCAGCAATCCATATAAAGGAATATGAATAAAAGTGTTAGGATACTTTCATAAGTATAAAAAATTATGAGGGGAACTCTTCCAGGAATCCCACTTTACGGTGAACATAACAGAGACCCTGTCATGTGACTCTCTTGCTGCTGTTAATAAGGAGAACTATTACTTACAGTAGTGAGAAACATTTCAACAGGTGTGGTATGAAAGTATTTACCAATGCCACTAACCCACAGTTTTCTCAAAAATACATGATGTGTTTCTTTTTAATTCCCATTGCAGGCTTTCTCCACCACCCCAACGGCACATGCTCTGACAGCAGTGGCATCGTAGAAGAGCCTAATTCTGTCTTCCCCTTGCAAGAGGTTGAGCTGTCCCCAACATCCAGCTCCTACTCTCTGGCCCTGCAAACTTCTCAACTCAGTAAGAGAAAGGCAGCATGGTGCACTGGAAAGAAGATCAGATTGAGAGACTTGGAATCTACATCCTGATGCTGTCATAAATTGCATACACAAAGACCGTCACACATCACTTCATTTCTCTGTGCACTGGTTTCTTTACCATGTGAGCATTGTAATACATGACAGGGACAGTGATAAACTGGACAAAGATTTAATTTTCTCCCAGGCATGGGCACTGTCTAGTGCAGTTAGAGGATTTAAGGATGGACAAGTTTGGGGAACAAGGAGTGCTACTAGAAAAAGAGCTCAATCTAAATGAGAAAGGAGAAATCCCACATTCAGGCTCTGAAACCTTGGTGCAACCCTCAGTGGGGTTCTTTCTGAGCATCTACTGGCCTCTATGTGCTCCCAGTTAAGTTCCAGAAAGTCTTCTGCAGCACCAGGATCCTGTTTTTCTTCTTGAGGCCTCATCCAAGCAGATCTGTTTGGGGCCTCCCCCTTAAAAACCAGCTGCTCCCTCTATCCCAAACTTTGTATCTTCACAGGAAAAAGGTGAATGGGATTCAAGGTTCCTCTTCTTAACCACTGTGAATAATTCAAAGTATTTTCTGCTGGCAGAAAGCAATACAAATAAAAACATTGGCATGTTTTCAAAGAGAATTAATTGTCATAGTTTGTGTTGGAGGAGAATGTTTGGTCAACAAACACAGCTTGAGCACCTACATTGCTCTATCAGACAATATGTGGTACAAAGCATCTTATACACATTCTTCCCTCAAGAAAACTTTAGTAAAGTGGGAGAGGTCACACACACACACACACACACACACACACACACACTTCCAGCAATCTATTACTCAGCTGCCCAATAAATTGAAAGATGGCAAAGACCAGAAGAGAGGGATTTGAGGGAAAGCACAACCATGAGTATTAAAGAAACGAATCATAACAGGTATGATGAGCAGACAGAGGCTGATTTTATTCTAATACTACCGCCAACAAGAGGGAACGGAGCACAGAGCATAGACCAATTCTAGTTCCCTGGTGAGGTAGAAACAAAAAACTGGAGAGTTTAAGAGCTGAAATGAGGAATCTTAGACCACCTGTGTTTGCTAATTGGCCTTGCCCAAAGAAAAGTAAACTTTCTGGCATCGTCATGACAGGCAGTAGTTTTACAGTTTGGAGCCAGGGGGCGCCACTGAAGTTCAGCTCCTACCCTTCCACAGAAACTGTGGACACTATTTTCTTAAATGTTTACATTTCAGAGAAATGATTCTCAGGTACTAGAGAAAGACTTTCCAGGATTGTAAAACTGAACGAGGCCAGGAGATTTACTGCTCAAAGGGACAGAGAAAGGACTTACAATAGCAAGCTTTCTAAAGCAAATTCTCTAAGAAATTGGAAGTCAGGGCCTAGAGTCAGGAAGAAATTGTGGGTAAAATCGCAGTATTTCCTGAATCTCTCTACTGGCCTTAGTGTATCTCCATATCAATAGGTGTTTCCAAGCGATGGAGAGAAGTACTCCATCTTCATATCATCAGGGAGTTACAAGGGTGAGCGAGGACTTACTTATCTGGACCGGAGAGGTTGGGTGGAGCTCTCTTCTTCTGCAGCCTGGTCGAGAGACGCAGGACCACTGCTGGTAAGAAATAAATGGGTTTCTCCCACTTTATTTCTTCCTTTGACTGATTTCAGTTTCAAAGGTATTTTGCCCCAGGATTTTCACCCCGGAGTTACAGAAACTATCCACACTTTAGTCAAACTGAGAAATGTTAAAACTATCTTGATCATGAGAGAGTACGGTAAGGCTCTGAGATTATGTCATCTAAAAGGACTAAGGGACACACAACTGACAGCAGCAACTTGAGAAAATGAGTTGGGGCTGCAGAAAGGGACAATCCCCACATTCAGTTTCACCAGATTAGATAAGGAATGAGCAAGGGAAGGCTTCTAGGGAGCGTATCTGGAGCTGATATCATTGTGCATCAGGCCCGGACAGGATAACCTCCTCCAGCTCTATGGGAGGGATCTGCACAGGCAGTACCTGAGAGGGCGGGGGGCGGACCAATGCATTCTGTCTCCTGGTGTTTCCCAGGCAGATTCTGAAGAACTCCTAGGGTAATCAGAATCCTTTGGATAAGATTCTATAATTAGATGGAGAACTACAGTTTCCTGCCTGACTCTAAGCCGTCTCCAACATTCACAGGGGCTCCACCTGCTCCCCGCCAGCTACCAAGGGGAACCGGCATCCTCTGCCCACTTCAGCAGCCACAGACCATCCGGTGGTGTCTGGCGTGGGGCGCGATGCTCCCAGGCTGGTCGCCGTGGCACAGCCACTAACTGTCCCCTAGGCCAACCCACCGGTCCCGCCGCTATTGGTGGCAGATGACAGAGCAGGCACGGCAGTGCATGGCTCGCTAAGCTGAGCATGGTCTCAGGATGCCCCCAGATCCCTCCTAAACTCTTTACAAGCCGCGCTGCCCTTCGGACACGGAGTTGCTACACCCCTGGGATCACTGAGGCCTTAGAACCACAGAATGTCACATCTTGAAAGGACTAGCCCAGTTGTCCCCCTGGAAAGAGAAAGCCCAGAGACAGGAAAGGAACGTGACAGATATCAGCAGCTGGCACCCAGCGTTGGAGCAAAGGTCCCATGACTGTGAGGGGGACACTTTTTTCTTAGATCCGTTCTCTGTGCTGACCAAGCATTTCCACAATCCTCTTTCACCGACACCTTTTCAGCCCTGCTTTATCTCTGCCTCAACTACCCCTGTCCATCTTCTTGTCCCCACTGTGAAGCTGATTGCCTAGGAGCCCTTTGTAAGGGAGAGAGGCCAACATCCGCAGAAACCAGGCCGGAGCTCACACTGGCGGCCCCACAAGGCAACATGGCAAGCGATCACACACGGACTGGAGTTCTTAAGTGAATTCTAAGATGAGGCTTGGGAAAGCCAGGACCATTGCAGGGAGCTGTTCAAAGGACAGGAATGTGGGCAGAGAGGGCTTTAGGAGGTGGCTTTCCGAGCTATAGGTCTCTGGAGGTTGCTGCGCAGCAGCAGTAGGGGTGGGGGGTGGGGATGGGGGTGAGATACTACTGGAATGAGAAAGGAGGGACCAGAGGTACTTAGAAAGGGTATAGGCTTCCAGAGTTGCTAAAATCTGAATATTCGGTGGTTATTTTGAGTTAGCCCTTCCCAGGTACCTGACTCGAGTTAGAATCACAGCTCCAGAGTGCAGTGAGGATTTGAACCCCAAATTTTGGGTCCCCAAATTCGTGGAAAAAAATACATTTCCTTGGCTCATTCACTAGCCATCTGTGTGGTTTAGGCAAAGTGTTTAACTTCCCAAAGTTCTCAACTACAAAGTAAAGATACAAATACTTGTCCTAGTATAGTGGGTTGGATGAAATGAAATAATGGTATAAAAGTGCTGGTAACATAGCAATGGCTATTCGATCCAGGATCCAAGAGACAGAAAGCCCTGGCTTAACAGCATCAGTACATCAGTAATGTGAGGAGGTAGACCTAGAATGTGGCCACCTTAGACAAGTTACTCATCTCAAAAGGGCAGAGGAAGAATTTGCAATGGCAGGTTTTCTGACGTAAATGTTGCCGGAAAATGGAGGTCAGGTACCTAGAGTCAGGAAAAACCCTGCCTAAAATTTAATTAAGTTGAGGGGAATGTTAAGATCATCTTGTTCAATTATAATAATATTCACTTAATAAGCTTGCTCTGAGTATTAAATGAGTTATTCTATGTAAAGAGAAGAGAACAGTGCCTTACACTTATTGTCACAGAAGGGTTTGAAACTATTACTGTTACAAATGATGTCTCAAACTTCTTCTGCTTCTGAGGTTTATTAATTCCTTAGATCATGTTGATTGTAATACAGGAAAACAATATTTTCTCAGGAAACAACTAAGTCTCAATTACCTGGGAGTCAGTTTGTATTCTCAGGCACTATTCCAAGTGAATTTTCAATGTGCAGCCAGTTTCTAGCCCTTGCTCGACATCTATTCTGCTGCCTATTCTAACATATGCAAAGCTCCTAAGGCCTCAGGAAGTGTAAACTAACTTCACAGTCTTTATAAACCAAAGCAAATTAATGACATGAGTCTTCTAGGGGTGGAGAAGGCTGATGTTCAGTGCTTGCTAAGATCTCGTCCAAAATGACTGTTTTATTATCAGCTGATTGGCATGACCATTCCCCTTATACTCATCTCTTTGCTGGTGTGAGGATTGGAATTAATAGTATGGGCACAGCAAAGGAAGATACCTCCACTTGATCCATCTTCCCTCCGTCTGTTGCCATGGAGACATATTTCCATATAGGGCAATGATGGGAGACCTGAACTTGGAGAGCAAATGGCTCCAAACAATTCCAATGAAACAAAACATGTTTTGTAAAAATGTTATAAGAAAACTTCGAAGTTATTCAGCACATGACAAAATAAAATTCCTTATTACAACTTTCCCTTATTATTGGCTTTACTATGACTATACTTGGTCACCAGTAAACAACCACATGTAAACAGATGATTTCTGTGCCTGGAAGCAAACAAGGCAAATGGCTGCATGTGTTACCACCCTTGGGGACCTTACTTGTGCCCGTGTCATACCTCAATCAGACTGATTAGGGGAGAGTAACTTAGTCCCAGCCATGGAGGCCACTTACTACTGTGTGAACTTTAACACTCTCTCTATGGGCCTCAATTTCCTCATCTTTTCAAAATGGAAATACTAATGTAAAGGCTGCTTTTCTCTCAGGTTATTGTCATGAAGATCAGATAATAAAAGAGTGCTTTGTAAACTGTAAATCATATATATCATAAGGCATTATATTATTTCTTTTTTTTATTGAAGTATTGATACACAATCTTGTATTGGTTTCAAATATATAACACAGTGGTTCAGTAGTTACAAGTGTTATTAAATCTTCACCATTACTAGTGTGTTTACTATCTGTCAACATAGGAAGATGTTACAGAATCATTGGCTATATTCTCCATGCTGTACTACAATCCCCATGACCAACTTATGTTGTGATTGAGAATTTTTGTGCCTCTCACACACCCCACCCTCCTACCCCAGCCTTTCCCCCATGGTAAACACTAGTCACTTCTCAGTGCCTATGAGTCTACTGCTGTTTTGTTCATTCTGTTTTGCTTTGTTTTCATACTCCACAAATAAGTGAAATCATATGGTATTTGTCTTTCTCCACCCGGCTCATTTCACTTAACATAATACCCTCTAGGCCATCCATCTTGTGGCAAATGAAAGGATTTCTTTTTTAAAGGCTGAATAATATTCCATTGTGTATGTGTACCACCTCTTCATTATCCGTTCCTCTATTGATGGACACTTAGGTTGCTTCCATATCTTGGCTATTATAAATAATGCAGTGATAAACATAGGGATATTTTCAAACATAGTATCTTTTCAAATCAGGGATTTTATTTTCTTCTGGTAAATTCCTAAAAGTGGAATTACTGGGTCGAATGATATTTTTATTTTTAGTTTTATGAAGAATATCCATACTGCTTTCCACAGGTGGCTGCACCAATTTGCATTCCCACACATGTGGGAGGTTTCCCGTTTCTCCATATCTTTGCTAACACTTGTTATTTCTTGTCTTTTGGATAGTGGCCCTTCTGACAAGT